AACCGACTTCGGTCAAGGCAGTAGAGACAGACGTCGCGTCGGGGCGGTGTGCAAACAAGCGAATCCACCAGCTTGCGGCACGATCTTTATGTTCGTCGACAGCGTCTGATGCCAGTTTGTTCGGGGAAATTCAATCGTTCCACGGGATCCCATCTAATCCGGTTAAACGGCGTCGGCACGACAGCGCCCGGATGTAATGTCGCATTTCAAGACGATGCACCGGTGCGTCGTTTTGATCCTATAATGAAAAGACGCATACGCGCTAGAACGCATCCATTATACGTTTGCCCGCTCCTGCAATATTATTTCTCGTGACAAAGTAACAAAGAAAATCAATTTGTAAAGAATATATTGTATATAAAAAATATTTTTTTAAAATTTATTATATTATAGTATGAAAAAAATAGAATAAGGAAATGTTAGATAATCATTGATAATTTATTATTTCTCCATCGTTGTTTTTCAATTAAATTGCGCCTCAACCAATTATCTGGCTAGCTTCCCCTCTCATTCCTTGGTCCGCCTCTACGTCGTCTAGCAAGCCAGAAGCTTCATCAACAGAGGCTACGTCGGGAATGTTAAACATTCACCTGTCTCCGGTAGGTCGTATCCCCTTCTAGGTCGCTGCTTTCGGAAACGATGTTTCTCCCCATCTCCCTCTTTCTGCCTCATCCGTTATCGGTGAATGGTCGGGTGATCATGCTGCCGCTATCCGACCGATCGGACCGAGTGATCTCGAAGTAGGTGATGTCTGTCTGTATATCCATGTCTGGCTCCGGGGCTCAAATTAAGAGAAACGGACGAGCTGCTTATCTCAGATAACAGTCGGCACTGCGCGACACAAGCCACTGGCCTGTCGCAAATCACGATTGTATCGCCGGAGATCAAGCTAATCGTGGATTTTCTGTAAACGTGGATCGAATATCTCGCGTCTATCTTGGGTCCTAAGAAAAACCGCGACCTCAGAAGACCGAAGAATCAGAAAGGGTTTAATGTAAAGGAAGTTGAATATGCTGTACACGAGATTACCAAATATTCACATACATAAATATTCAATTTTAAAAGAGTGCGAGAACTCCTAAAACACGATATTTTAAAGTTACTCATGTATAATGACTATGTCTCTTGAATTTAATGGCGTTGGCTATATTTTTATTATTTCTACGTATAATGTATTGCCTTGCGATAAAGAGAATCCCAAAGCGATGCGATGGACAGTGAAAGCGGCTTGGGTTAGGTCTTTATCTGAGTGCCCGTAGATATTCGTTCCATTTTGAATCCCATTGTGATAAGGCGCGACATCGAAATTTAATTAAACGCGCCTCGCCGTCTGACAGAGCCTAGTGCCTTTTAGCTACGATGTTTACGAGCTCGGACCGTTATAGCTTTCCACGCGACCGAACTCGAGAAAATGAAGCTACACCCGCGTTAAGAAAACACACAGAGAAAGATTAATGATCCCGGGCGATTTGGTAACAATGTAGTTCGTCGGAAAAGCAATCGCGCGATTCACGCCAGATTTAATCTGGCGGATGAAAACGATTTTCGTCAACAAATACGAATTGCAACATGTATGTACGAAAAGTCGCTTTATATAATATTATTATTAACGCCTCTTAAATTCTGGAAATGCGCGTAATTAAGTCTCAGGGTGAACACACACAATTATTGAATTGAATTCGAAATCGGTAAAGATCTAAGGGAATTTTCAAGACGGTTCGTCGTCATAAAATAATATTGTCCAACCGAATGCCGGGGACCCCGGGCAAACTATATTTCTCGAATCGCCTTATTTATTTACGCTGCATACTCGTGATTTCGGTGGAACGATGTTATTACAAGGACCTTCCTACGATACACGTCGACCATTACGTAAACGTCGGCAGGAGCTGGATAATGCTGAGTTTTGTCAACGCGGCTTCGACACTCCTTTTGTGTTGTCCTTCCTGTCTGGGGCTGCGTGGGCGAATAAGGCACGGCGACGAAAAAGAGAGTCGCCAAATGGACAATAAAGAGTACACGAATACATGATCGATCACTGACAGTTACTGGTGTCCTGATGAGAAAGAAATTATTGCGAAAATGCAAAGGAACAACACTTGTAGACACATTTCACGCAACTCGAAGAATAGAGAAACATACTTGCTGGAAATTATTCTTCATACAATAATGAGAAAGAGACATAATATTATACACTTAATAAACTAATAAGAGGATACGAGTTCTTTTTCGAAAGAAGCAACAACACTTCTCGCAGTATAAAATCGTCGTTCTTAAAACAGCTGTTAGCTTTGACATGAAAAAGCTTCTATCGTGCTCGTTGAATATATTATTCGCGGAGAGGACCATTGATCAATCGATCGTACATAAAACACGCGTACAAACCATTTTTTTCTCATTGTCAGCCGCACACGAGTCGTATTATTCGTAACACGCGTATTGCGGTCCCATCGTGTTGTCTGTTTCTTCAGCAAACATCAGCACACCTTTGCACGTGTGGTCGAAAGCATTTCTGTCACTCGCAAAATTTCGGGACGAAGTCTTTGTGGTCTTTTGAAGGATTCTCGAGAGGTATTCTCGGCTCGTGCACGCATTTAATCCTTGCACCGTGGGATATGCATTTTTTGTATTCCGAAAATGGTGAATCTTCTTTCTTTAATCATATCGCACTAAGAAATTAATTTTTAATTATTTAATTTTATCCGTGTAAGTTTTTCTGCAAGTAACAAAATTTAATTAAAATTAGATATTTAGAAATTAATTTCTTAGAGTGACACGTTAAAAGAAAGAGTTTGCAATTTTCGGAATACAAAAGATGCATAGATTTTATTGTATAAAAGAATTTTATCAATTTGCGACATGAAATTTTCAAGCATCATTCATTCACGACTTAAAAAAAACTTTGTATTTTGATAATTGTGAACCCTCTTTCTTTTATCATATCGCACCTCGTACTAAGAAATTGACTTTTAATTATTTAATTTTATCCGTGTAAATTATAAAGAATTCTCAATAAATTTTTTACATATTTTTATATATTTATTTTCAAGAATAAAGATTGAATTTCTCTTCAAAACGATTATTGTCCTTATCATAATTTTTTCATAATTGGAGTTAGTTAATTTTATTTATGATGAGCTCTTCAGTTATCTTTACTCATTGAAATAATATTATTATATTTTCCGAATGTTACAGATATTTAAATTTTGTCGTTCGAAATGCCATGCTGCATTTAAGAAAAAGAAGAATCCTAGGAAAGTCAAATGGATCAAAGCATACAGAAAAACTGCAGGCAAAGAAGAATCAGATGAATCATTTCTGCAAGTTAGAAAATTTAATTAAAATTAGATATTTAGAAATTAATTTTTCAGAGTGACACGTTAAAAGAAAGAGTTTGCAATTTTCGGAATACAAAGGATGCATAGATTTCATTGTATAAAAGAATTTTACCAATTTGCGATTTGAAATTTTCAAGCATCATACTTAAAAAAAACTGCCACTTGTTCAATCGATCCGAAACCAATCGGCCTGTTACTATTTGAGTTTAGTCTCGCCGACGTCGGCGTAGCTCAAAGATCGATTCGTCGAAGAGATCGGTCGCGGCGTGTGTTCTTCTCGAAAAAAATCTGCAAGCTCACGCCCGTGAAAATATTTTTGTACGCGTAACACAAGTGTGTCCCGTCCGAACTCGTCGGTGTTTCCTTTAGACGCGTATTCCTACAAGGCATTTCGCCTCGTGTGCAAACATCGCGTCGTGGTTTGTCTGGTAATTGCTGGAAACACCTCGCGAGTGTTTACAGTGTCATCGACAGGCGCGGTCACACTTCGTGCGGGTTCTATGAAAGCTCGGGTTCTGTCACAAAGAAATGATGCACGGTTCGAAGTATGAGCTTGAGCAATTTTGAATACGAGATTCTATTAAACGAGAGATCTTGAAAGCTCGATTAATTTATTTGCACAAGACGATATAATTTTAACTCGTCGCGGTCTCAAATCGGGATATTCCCGGCAAAGCTCTTTGTCCCTATAGCGACTCGAGACCGTAAAAGCTTAATACGTGATGTATTCATGAATTAAATAATTTATCACAAACCATAACCAGAATAAAATCCTTTTTTATGCAAATTAAATTTCATCTTTTCATTATACATCCCTTATAGAAATTTATCACTAGTAACGTTAATTTATCACTTATTTCAAGTACTTAAAGTACTGTATATCAGTATTTTAAGTACTCGAAATAAGTGATTAATTAGCGTTACTATAGTGATAAATTTCTACAAGGGATAAAGTAAAAGAAAATTGTATATTGCAAAATAAATCGTGTATATTATTCGAATTACTCGAGAGATATATTCTTGATCCTATGATTATATACGCATTCAATATAATGAAACTTGATAAGAATGCAAATGATTGATGCTGTGGACATCGCAATACATTGTACAATTGTAAAATGAACAAGTATTATTATTTATTCTTATTACTAATTCTTATTAAGAATATTATGTATAACCGATATTTTTTGTTAAATACATGAACATCCATAATGAATATAATATAGGTGAATATTTATAGGCATACAAGGCGAATTTAATGAAATAAATTTATATTTGCACAGATTTGTCCCTCATGGCTCCATCTATAGAACCTCTTAGAAATTTCGAAGTATTGTCAGGTGATAAATGAAAGAAAATTAAAAAATTAAATATAACTTTGCTTTCTTTACATTTAATATTAGAAAAGCTAATAATAAATATAGAATTAAACAATAAAAAATGCTGTTTTTAGAACATTTTCGGCTTTTACATAATTTTCTGTTAATCTGTGTTACAAAAGTAAAATATATACTATGTGGTGTAAATTATTATAAATTATATATTTATAAATATTACAAATAAATTATAATGTTCAGTTTTATATGTATGTATATAATAAATGATGTGCTATTTTCGAACATTTAAGAAGTTTTCAAAAAAGATTTTTTTTAATTAATGATATTGGATATGAACTCATAATTTATTCCACATAGTAGAAATAATTTGTACAATATAAACTAAAACAATATTGAAAATATTTAATGATTTAGTTGACCTCTACTTCCTGAGCTTCAACTTCATCATTAGACTCTTCATCTATGTGCATTTCTGTTTCTTCAGTTATTTCTTCTTGTTTCTTCCTCTCCTTGAGACCAGCAGCTGGTGAACGAATAAGAGACAAGTCACGTGACACTTCCTTAATATCTCTCTCCTCTTCCAATTCTCTTCCCTTTTGTAACCGCTGCATAATGTATAGATTCTGTCGTCTCTGCCTAATAGAGTCTACTTTCTTCATTGCTTGCACACTCTTGCTCCATAATTCTCTGTTATATTTGACTGGTATATTTCTTCTCTTCTCAAACTCGAATGATGGATCTACCGTCAATTCTTTGCCTGCAGTTTTTCTGTATGCTTTGGTCCATTTGACTTTCCTAGGATTCTTCTTTTTCTTAAATGCAGCATGGCATTTCGAACGACAAAATTTGAATACCTGTAACATTCGGAAAATATAATAATATTATTTCAATGAATAAAGATAACTGAAGAGCTCATCAAAAATAAAATTAACTAACTCCAATTATGAAAAAATTATGATAAGGACAATAATCGTTTTGAAGAGAAATTCAATCTTTATTCTTGAAAATAAATATATAAAAATATGTAAAAAATTTATTGAGAATCCTTTATAATTAATATTTATTGGAACGAATTATACGAAACGCTTACAAAACATAACCTTATTTCGATACTAATGATGCATTATTTTATACACTTGAGGGTTATTCTCCAAATTTATATCACATATATATAATATTTAATTAATTACAATTCTTACCTTACAATCATTCCTTACGAATTGAATCCCGTGTCCTGGATATATCCGGGACGAACAAAAATAACACGTTTCTATACGCATTTTGTAACAAGTTGGGCAAAAGTATGGTTAGAAATAAAATGCTGCACATGGTCTACTAGTGTTTCTAAAGCTTTCCAGATGGAATAACAGATGGCGAGAAAGGTATCTCAAAGTCGTATCTCGTATATCGACTTATCGATTATTGTCTCGAATTAATCGTGAGTTTAAAATTTAAATTAACATTAAAAAAGGATTTCAAATCGATCACGAAATACATATTTCAGATATAGTTTATATTTTTTATAAGAAATTATTAAATATTTCTATATATATAACATGTAGTGACGGATTATAATGAACAATTGACTAAACTATTTTGGATAGGCATGACTTTTTATTTTTATAGTAAACAAAAATATATTTTTGCAACTTTTAACAAAAGTGAAAAAAAATATTTATAGTATATAATATAATTTATTTTGGAATGGAAGTTTTCTGAGTTTTCATGAAATAATATATTTTTTTACGAATTTAGTAATTTTTTATAAAGTCTGATTAATTATGCTTCAAGAATTCTGTCGAAAAATATTATGATTCAAATGAATCCTAATATAAAACATTAAAAAGTTATATATTATTTTTTATATAATAAAAATATATAGAATTGATACCTACTCTGTTTTTTACAATCATTGCTAAGATTCTTTATCTTAATTTCGGAAGTGCAGAACTCTTTTAGGGACAAAAATAAAAATTTTGAAAATAATTTCCAAATGTCAAAAGTTTATTATTATCTTTAGACAAAGCTTTCTTTTCAAAGGATCACAAAGCATGTATGCAATTTTAATAATAAACAAAGAATACAGATATATCACATAATAATGTAAAATTAAGAAGATAAATTCTTAAGTAGTATAAAGTAAAATAAATACAATACGTGATGTACCCTTCTAATGGACATACTATCATACGTAAAAATAGCGGATCGTTTATCTTATATACAGAACGTTGCTTGGCAGAGTTCGCGATCGAACAGTTTATTTAAAATCTAATAAAATATTGCGTGAACGGATTAATTCTGTAACATCGTTAAAAATTATCATATAAATCTCACATACATTTGTGATATGTAAATTATATAATGGCTAGTTTTTCCAATATAATAATTAAATATTCTCGACACTGTTGTCCCGGTCGTTGGCGCGATGCTTCGAAGCGGCTCGACTTATAGACAAGTATCGATTATAAACGGAGAGCTACTAATTTAATATCGGGATCGAACGCGTAGCCGTATAGTTCCGCGTTCGTCTCGCGCGTTGTCTCAGTGATACCAGATGACGACCGTCAATCGGACGTGTTCTTCCCGCGCGTGAGTTTTCGAAGAGACAAAATAGACATGTGGGGTCACATATTGATCTCGATCGTCGTCCTGCTAACGTCATTGTTTTATCATTATCACTTCAGCGAACCGGCCAGCATTATCGATTATCCCGAGATGCATTATGACTATATTGTTGGTGAGTTTGCTTGGCGATTTAAGCCCATCGATATTCTTGTCTGCGATTCCGACACTATTTTTTTCTTCTTTCCGATACCCCAAGATACGAAGTATCGATTTTTAATCAAAGAGGATTTGCGCACGTCCCACGCAATGACAAATTGCATTGTGCTAAATTGAAGCACCCTAGATGCTTTTTAGAATAACAAAAAATATCACCAGTAACAAATCATTCCCAGTTCTCTTAGAAACATGAAATTGTGTCAGTTGCAAAATTCTCGCAAATACTTCAATTAAAAAATTATTAAACAATGAGAAACAATTTCTTTACATATTGAAAACTTCAAATTTACCATTTTTGTGTAACTACATTTTTTTGTTTATAATGATGGTAACATTTTGTCCATCTCGCGATGAATTAAAAGAGCCATTAAAGTTTAAAAATAATTTACGATAAAACGTATTATTGGATTAAGTCGGCGCTGGTACGTCCGGCTGCGTGATTGCATCACGGCTCTCGGAAATGTCGAACGTGACCGTTCTGCTCGTGGAGGCCGGTGGATACTTTGGATGGACATCGACTATACCACTCTTAGCGCCGATGATGCAAGGCACCGAAGTCGATTGGGCCTATAAAACGGAGCCGCAAGTCTTCTCGTCCCGAGGGTTCAACAGCTATGTAATTAAAACTCTATCTTCCGGTAACTCCCTTCCGCGTAAAAGAACGTGAGAAACGGTTTTCGTGACCATCTTTTGCTACACAGTATAATTCACAAAAGCACGAAAGCTGTGACTAACGAATAATAACATTCGTATCAGTATAGAAAAAAATATGTCGTATTATTGTAAATTATTTTGTTTACGTCAAGTAGTATTATAGATGAAAACAACATTTGACAAATTCGTATTTCCTCATATTTTATACATATATTTTCGGACCTCTTTATTGGTCACGTTTGTTTAGAGACAAAACTGGCCGAGGGGAAAGGGATTGGGTGGAAGCGGGCAACTTAATTACCTCGTTCATTCCTTTGGGAGGCCCGAGGATTATAAGAGATGGCCTAAAGGCTGGTCGCATGCCGATTTACTTCCCTACTTTCAAAAAGTGTCCGACATCATGAACGTTGTCCCGATGCCGGAGGAAGAGTATCTAACAAAGGCCTTCGTTTTGGCCGAAGAATCTTTAAAATTAGATAATGTATCCTTGCGAAAGGCGATGTACACCGCGAAGAAAGGTTCTCGATGGACCACACACCACGCTTATTTGCAAAAGGCTTGGAATCGCAAGAACTTACATATCCTTATGAACACGTTTGTTACAAAGGTACAATCTCCATAATTTTCATATAGCACACTATTATATTATTGATAACAGTACTTGCATAACTTGTAGTATACTCAAAATGTTTGTCAAAAAGAATTATTCATACTTTAGCTTCTTTGTTCATATTTATATATCTCTTTGATTTAATATGAAACAGATACTTTTCAAGAATAATAACATCGAGGGTATTAAAGTGACGTACAAAAATGGATCAATCGGGAGAATCGGCGTGAGAAAGGAGGTGATTCTTTGCGCAGGCACTATCAATACTCCGCAATTACTTCTGATCTCCGGCATAGGACCTATTAGCGAATTGGAGAAGCATAAGGTGGTTGTTTAGAATGTGATTTGTATATTTTGTAATCTTCGCATAAAACGGCACCGATTTCGATTTTCAGATATCTGTGGTGCGAGATCTTCCAGAGGTAGGCCGAAATCTGTTCGATCATCTGAACGTGCCCGTTTACGTGAATCTGCGAGAGCGCGTCAGCATCACGTTGGTGAAATTGCAAACTGTGCCGGAGGTGTTGAATTATTTCACCTTCGGAACCGGTAATATGGAATAACGCGCCAATGATCGGGGCGCGATCATTTATTCGCGATATGCCTATTGACGCATTCCGTGCGGCCGATGTTGTAATCTCGTATACCTTTTTCCCCGGTTGCATGTCAAAGGATGGTTGGCCACTAACGGCGTAATGGGATTGGGGCGTGCTAATAACAGTGGCCTCCTTCTCTTCGGAGTGGCGTCCGCGGAAGAAAAATTGCTGAAGGCCATCTCAAATTTCGAGACCGAGGTGAGTGAACCAGCCCCAACAACTGCGTATTTAAATTTTAACTAGCGTTTCGTAGTTTCTCCTTTCGATGGAAAGAATTACTTTTGTAGCTCGATTGAAACATTTTATTCCATAGCGATTATTATTTGCAATTTCCTCGAAGCTATATACATGCCGATTCAAAAAGATTAACAATCGATTATCAGACGTACAGGTCGCTATTTCCGTCGTATAACGATAGCATGCACGAGGGATTCATTTATCTCGCGTCATGTTTGCAACCCAAGAGTCGCGGAAGCGTAACGTTAAAATCGAGCAACATCCGCGATCCGCCAAGAATCAATCCCGCGTATCTCCAGGACTCTGACGACGTCACGTGCACCTATCGAGGTAAATGGTCCCTCGAAAACATTTGATTGACTCGTGAAATTTTCTTTGCGTTTTTATTTAGAACAGTTTATAATGATTTAAAGTAAAAACTTTGACGGTTTTCCGGTAAGCTATAAATTTCGCGCTGGAGACTCTTGAGACGAGACTCTTTCGCGAGTACGGGGCGAAGGTCCACATTCCCGATTTCGAGGAATGTCGTCATTTACGACCGGACTATCGGGACTTTGACTACTCGGAATGCGTCATGAGAATCGCAGGGCTAACGGGTTATCATCCGTGTGGCACATGTAGGATTGGCGCGGTTGTGGACGAGGAATTAAGGTAAAAGACAGGGATGCGCGTTTTATCATTTGTAAGCCACTTTGCGGGATGAGGTGAAGCGGACTAATTGTAATAAAAATATAATCTCGTTCGTCAGGGTGAAAGGCGTGAGTGGATTAAGGATAATGGACGCCAGCGTAGTGCCGTCTCCAATTTCCGGCACGCCAAATTCAGTTCTCATCGCAATGGCCGAACGCGCATCAGACATAATTCTGGATCGGACGGTTTAATTGAGATCCGATTTATTCATTATGTGTCATATGTATATATAAACGATTTATTAATAAAAAGACACAAAAGAAATAACATTCATAGTTTTAACGTTGCAATTTTTAATTCATATACTCCGCCTGATAAATTGTAGATAAATTATATGGGAAAAACAGGATTTAAGAGGAGGATTTAAATTCGCCAATGAACGATATCCATAGTGCTCCAAGTTTTTTGTAATTTATAATTAATGGTAAAGTTTTTCTTTTGTTTTACAGTAATCGAACAGTTATTAATAGTCTCTAATTAAATTTCGATTAATTTTTATACAAACAAAAAGGGTGAGTTACACTCAACGGCATAGCCACGAATCCCTGCCACCCTGTCCGCGCTCGGAGTATAAACAAAAAAAACAAACTTATATATTTTTTATACGCTCCCCCCTCCCCCCTGTTAAAGAGAATTTCTTTCATCCCAATTTCCATCCGGAAAATCGTTTGCGATGTGTGTGGCAGAGTTTCGACATTCTTCCTATTTCACATCCGCATCTCGCGTCTCTTTCTCTTTCTTTCTCTTTCGCATATCCGCAAATACGCATACGTTCCT